ACTGGGTTTTAGGTTCCTTGAATGATGGTGTGTTACTCATTAACTTAATTATCCATTAACTGGATGGCTCCTCCTTGGTTTTACTGGCTCAGTTCTGGGTTTCTGTTCCACCCCTTGGTTTCACATGGAAGCCATGTGGACCAACACAAATACCGCGATGCTTCCCAGCTCTGAGGGATGCTATTTGTCCCCGGGGAAGGCAGGCTCTGAAGGAAAACACTTCCTAGTGTAAAACACTTGTAAAAAAAAAATTAGTCTGTAGGTCAGGAAAGTGAGGAATTAGGGGGAAAATGACATAAAGCCTTTTTCAAAAGTTAAAAAAAAAAAAGTTTGGAGTACTGTACATACTCTTGGCATTTTAAAGGACCTTGAAATATCAGGAACAGAAGAAAGGCCAGTCGGCTGTAGCAAAGGCTGTCCTTGACTTGCAAGGACAGGAGATGGAGCAAGGCAAACCCATGGTACATCTGCAGCAGAGAATGAGCTCTCAGGAGCACTGGAAAAGGCTGCTGCAGCCTACAGGTGTGGGAGAAAGATGAAATCTGTGGATTGCACTGAGAGGAAAGGGTTACAGAGAGGTCCTTCAGGTAACTACTAGGTTAAGATCTAGGCTGCAGAAAGCCCAAATTTGACATCAGAGAACTCTCTCTTTTAGAGAAGTTTCCTGAATGTGAGGCTGCAGGCTTAATGCTGTCTTTATATCCCCTGCTAACATGCTTTTATGGGTCTTAGTGGAATTATCACCTATTTTGCTTACATCTTTATAGCAAGAAGTAAATAAACTTCTTCAGAAAGCTCTTGCAATAATTACTTTTATTTAACAGCAATTTTTACATATATATATAGAGTGAGTGAACTCCAGAGCCTCTCCTGAAGACATCCCCTGACTGATAATCCATCCAGATACAATTACAACCAAATTATGACTAAGGTAAATTCATTTTTGGGGATGCTTGATGAATACTGCATATGGAGTACAGGTGTGCATATAGTTGCTAAGGATATAAGCCCAGGTGTTTACTATACTTTTTTTTTTTAAAACCGTAGAAAGGCCAAGATAGTTTTAGTAGTGCAAATGTTTTCCTGCCTGAGGGGAAGACTACATTTTTTAATTAAGCACCAATTAGATTACGAACATTCCCTTACAAAAATGGATTCAAGGAAAACACAGATTGGTCTTAGCACAGCCAAGGACATTTCATTCCCTTGATTTCCAAGGACCCTGTCAGTCAGGTGGGAGATTGAGAAATTTTAGAAAATGTAGCTCTTTACCTCACTGGGAAAACAGTGTATCTGTCTGTTTTTAAAACAGGCCTTCTGTGCTGAACCTACTCATAGACAACTGAATGTCAGCCCACTGCTAAGAAGACCTGGAAAAAGAATGAATTGTCTTTCTACACATGAAGAAAGGTCTTAAAGTACTAAAGGCATCCAGGAAGCCTGAGTTCCCATAGCAGATATTAGTACCAATATTTGTGTATAAGACTTTATAAACTAGAGAATTTGCTGTTACAGGAAAGTTGTGAAATCTATTTTAAAAAATAGAATTATCTCATATTGAGATTTATTAAAGTAATTGGATTTGGTTTGGGTTTTGTTTGGTTTTTTTTTTTTTTTTTCTTTAAGAGGTGCAGCTTAGTTTTTATTAAAATCACATTCCCAACACCTGGTTTTGCCAGTATTCATTGACCAAGTGTCAGATTTGAGGAAAAAACGCAAGGGCTTCGCATTTTGGTAACAATACTGATCTTTTAAAAGGTCAGATTTAGAAAAAAGTTATTTAGCAGAAGAGTAAATCAGTGAACACTGAAATCCTCTAACTTTTTGTCTATTTCTAATAAAACAGAGCCACCACTAGCAAATGAAAATGCAAAAATCTTTGCACCTTGAGTATTTAACCAAAGGCACTTGTCCATTTGATTGTGTTCACAGCAAAGTAGTAAATAAACTTTGTGCAACTGATAGCAGGTAAGATTTCTGTTCTGAATTGATTACTTCATTTCCCAGAGTTTAGATTTCTGAGAAACGACAAAATGTACCAGCATAGGGCAGTAGTTTATTATTGAGTATTATGCTGCTCATTAACTACATTGAATTTAAAAGCACAGCTGCCTACTCCCATTCAGAAGTGTTTTTTCTGCATTTAAATAACTTAACTTTGATCTGTACCATGAATGTTTCATAATTATTTGCCTTTGTGCGATTGCTACATTATTTCACTATGTTACATGCCCCTTTTGTCCATTTGGATATCAACCCTGGACACCACCCAAGCAGAGTTAAATAGAATTCTGCAAACCTGATAGACATACCAAGATAAAATTCATCTCTGTTGTTTTGGGGTGCTCCAGCCTCACAGCCTGGTTTGTCACTAATGCTGAGCTGCAAAACTCTTCTGATGTTTGGGGCTGAGAGCAAAGGTGCAGCAGGTCAGCTCACTGGGGTATGCTGGACTCAAGGCCCTAAGGCTGCTTCATATTTGAACTTTTTCTGCCTGCTAGTGAACTGTGGGGAGGGAAGGGGCTGAAGCCTCACTTTATGTTCCATTCAATATTTGTAAAGTTTTAAATTCAACAGAATCCTGTTCATAAGGGTTACTTCAGGTGTAGTGTCAGTTGTGAACACCTGCTGACATTTAATCTGAGCTCATCTCACATTATTGACTTTGTATTTCCATCAATGGCCTTAAGTTGTAATCAGTCAAATGTTGCATTAAGAATGACATTTTGGTATATGGTACAGTTGATAAACGACGTTACTTGGTGCTGCCCTCATATGTCTGTGTTACTCACTCTCTGCTGAATTTTGAAAATGTGCAGGGACTACATTCAGTCATGCAGGGTGCTCAGGAACTGTACAATATTTTTCTAAAACAATCACTGGATTGCTTAGAATCCTAGATTCCTGAGTTTTGCTTTTATGTTAGTTCTACTACTTGCTTAGTGATAGCCTTTTGAAAAGACACATGTTTTTCCCCTCCAGATTTCATCTTACATTTTTGTCAGTTTTATCAGCTGCTCTGAGTGCACAGCACCATTAAAGAAAAGCAGTGCTGCATGCATGGTGCCAGTTAATGCATCCTTTAATGTGTGGTCTTAGGAGACTGGTACATCAGTCTGCCTATAGCTGCTTGCGGAATTTTCCAGCAATTTCCTTTCCTGAAGACACCTGAGGGGATTCATCTCTTGCCGAAAGCTGGAAACCGCAAAGTAACTGAAGAACACATGGTTTTGTACTTTGGCCTTATCCTTCACAAGGACCAAATTACCTAAAAGAAGGAATGTATTTTGAGTGTTGGAGTCCTGCAGCATGATTTAACAGTTATTGGTGAAATCTAGGCCAATCTTGCCTTCCAAAGCTAAAGCAGGATTTTTTCCCTATCTAGTAATGCTGTAGTTTTTTTACATTTTAAAGCAAGTATAGAGGCTGATAGGAGTCAGAAGAATCCAACTCAGGGATTGTAGTGCTCCTGTTGCTCGTTGTGCCCTCACAGAAGGTTCAGATACATTTTGTGGATGCAGATTTAATACTGCCAAGTTCAGAGTAATCAACATGCAGGATGTGACCACAGGTGTACTGGTGCATTCACTGCATATATAACCACATTTATGTTTGTGGGTGTTTGTCATCACATGCTATGTGCTTTTTTAGGACTTAATTTGTACTTTTGTTCTCTCTGTGAAAACCTACAGAATTTTACTACCTGGATAGAAAAAAAAGTCTCCCGACTTTGTAGCTAAGGTAGGAGCAACAGCAGATTTTCTAACCATCTTCTTGGCCTTCAGATGCAAATTCAATGCAGTGCTTTGGCTGGCATGTCCCTTAGGCAGTATCCGTGAATGAGGAAGGAAGGAGTAAGGACTGAAGATCAAGGCTGTGCAATAGACCAGTTATTTCAGCCCGCGTAAATTTTCTTTTAATTGTTGTTAGTTGTTACTGTTGTTAGTTGTAACTATTGTTAGTTTGACTTACTTTCTTGGTTCTCCCCTTTATTCTTATTGCTTCCCACCTCGCATCTCTAGGCTTCCCACCTACATTTCCTGCAGAGAAACATTCCTGCCTGCCCGTCCGTCTGTGGGTTGCGGCCACTGCTGCGGCCGCCTCCTCTCCTTCCAGCTCCTGAGGCCAGCGCTGCGTCCTTCCAGACCACCTCGCCTTTCCCCTTGCAGCATCGCTTCCCACGGAACAGCCTGGGAACAGCCCCCTGCTTGCCTCTTTCGTCAGGTCAGGCAGGAACAGCTTCTGGGCCAGCGGCGGAGCGCTGTAAATATAAATATAAATACAAATATAAATATAAAAATATAGAAATATAAATATATAAATATAAATACCAATGTCAGGCTTCTGCTGAAATTAGGAAAAATATTAAAGATATTAAAACATTTTATATTTTAATATTAAAAATTAAATTATAAATGTTAATATTTTAATATTAGAATACTAAGTATATTTAAAGGGTGTTGGTAATCTCTGCGCGTCAGTTGCCGTGCAGATCAAACCAGCGATAGGCAGTTTTGTATAGTTTAATTCAAATTATTATTCTTTTCTCCCTGCTTACGCAGATCCTAAGAAACGCCGCCATGAAAAATAAACAAGCTGTCCGTAAAGCCACAATATGACAAGGGAGCACTTGACCCGCACGCTTTATTTTGTAAATAAATAATCCAGAGGGAGCTGGCAGCCGGCGCTGCGCAGGCACCGGGTGTGCGAGCAGGGGGCACGGGGAAGTGCCCGGCCCCGGCAGCCCCGGCGTGCCGGGCGGAGCCGCTCCTCTCTCCCGGGAAGGGAGGAGAAGGGGAAGGAAGGGAAGGGGCTGGGAAGGAATCGGCCAAGGCCGCCCCATCGATCGGCCCAGGGGCCGGCCCGACCACGCCACCGCCCGCCCGGCCCCCGCGCTGTGCTCAGGTGTCCGGCGGCGAATCCCGTGCCCGGGCTCCGTCCTGCCGCCCCGCCCGGCGGCGGCGAGGGGCGGGACCGGCGCCGACTCCGCTTTTGCTCCGCTCCGCGCCCGCCGCTCCGCTCCGTGCCCGCCGCTGCCGCCGCCATGAGCGCGGATCCCGTCGTCTTCGTGTCGGCCGCCAGGACCGCCGTGGGTGAGAGGCGGCGGCGGGTGGCGGATGCTCGCGGTGGGGCCGGGCGGGTGTCCCGGTGCTGAGCTCTCCCTCTGTGTCCCCCTGCCAGGCTCCTTCAACGGCGGGCTGTCGTCGCTCCCCGCGCACGAGCTGGGCGCCGCCGCCATCCGGGAGGTGCTGCGCCGGGCCGGGCTGGCCCCCGAGGAGGTGTCGGAGGTGATCCTGGGGCAGGTCCTCACCGCAGGTACGGCCCGGCGGGGGGACCGCTCCGCCCGCGCCAGCATCCCTTCGGGGCTGTCCCATGGGAACGGCCCGGGTTTCACCTTCCAGGGCGGTATGCCTTGCCACTGCAAACACGGTTCCTTAACAAAGGACTTGATAGGCATCGTGGCTACTTCTCCATATGCTCTGGGTGACCGAAAGGATGGGGTTTTGGAAAGGATGTTGTGGGAAGTTCGGTTTTTTAAAGTAGCCAACAGTGTATATGTGAATGTCAGTTTCTTTTCTTTGTTACAGCATCCTTCTTACCTTGATCATCTTAGCTGCTGAGTTGAACATCCTAAGTAATGATAACTCTGAGATTTTAAGAGCTAGGCCTGCATTTGTCTTTTATCTACAGGACTAACCTGCAAGATCTTGTGATGCAACTTGTTTGGAGACAAATATTTTGATTTAATGAAAGTGTAACTGGCAGGGAATTGTTTGTTTTGAACTAGCTCCTGCTTATTCCAGGGTAATGTTTAATCAGTAGAATCATAGGCAGCTTTGTATTTTAAACGTGGAGGAAGGAAATATATATTTTTGTTTAAAGATGATTCAGATTCCTCTGTATTTTCAGTTTACTGAATGATGTGCTCTCGTTGTCCTTTTCTTTGTGTACAAAGAGCTTTGGCCTCGGGAGATGCAGATGAAGACTCCTTTCTTTGAATATAGTGCTCCTATTATCTCCATCAAGATCACAAGAAAGACTGGAAGCTTTCAGGTCCATCTGTGCATAGTTGTGCTTTTGGTTTCCATATGAACTTTCATGGAAAGTTAACTGCTGGTGATGTACAGAAGATGTCAAAAAGAAACTCTTCAGAAAGTAGCAATTTAAATGATTTTTCATCCTACACATACAACAGGCTAGGGCTGATCTGAAGTAGTGTTTCCTCTGACCTGGCATCAAAAGCAGAGCTGTAGATATCAAACTATCAGTAGCAGGTATTTATTGATCAATATAAATGAGAGAGGTTATCTCTTTATAGATTACTGCTGGGCACTTCTCTACCCACCAGCTAAAAGGAGCAAGCTCTAAATTTTTGTGGAATCAGGGTATTGTGACCAGTGACAAGGTGGATTTGTGTTTTTAAGAACAGACAAAAGCACAATGCTGCCTGTTCCCACAGGTGCTGGCCAGAACCCCGTGCGGCAGGCCAGCGTGGCTGCGGGAATCCCGTACTCCGTGCCCGCCTGGAGCTGCCAGATGATCTGTGGGTCGGGCCTGAAGGCTGTGTGTCTGGCTGCTCAGTCCATACTGATGGGAGACTCCAGTGTCGTGGTCGCAGGGGGCATGGAGAGCATGAGCAAGGTAAAGCAGAGGGTTAGACAAGCGTTGCGCTGACATGCTGGGAGCAGAGAGCCCCGTGGTGAAACCCTGGGTCTGCAGGCTGGCACCCGGAGGCAGAGCGAAAGGGTCGCTGTGCTTGCGAATGAATTTACACGTGCAACAGTAGCACACTTCTTGCAAAAAAAGACTTCATACTGTAGCTACTGAAAAGGTGCCCTACAAACACACACTACATTTAAAATTCCATTTTTATTTCTATCTAGCTCTGTTGTGGTGAGTGATTTTTGTTGTCATCTTATTACAGGGGTTCCATGCTATTGTCTCCTTATCACAAAAGTTTCATACCTTCTTGGTGTTTCTTATGGGCGGTTCCTCAGAGCACTGCCTCTTTCTTCTTCACAAAGCAGCCAATTGACCCCAGTTCCCTTCTCAACCAGCCACCCCACTCTTCTTCTCATTGGTTACAGCTGTGGCCTGGTAAAGTCAGGCCTGTTCCTAATCTTTGATAATTGGCCCAGCTGCAACTCCTTAGGGGTAAGATTACTTTCTACACTATTTTCTTATATTCTATCCCCCTACAGATTTTCCTGTGACATAGCACAATAGACAGGATTTTTGTATTGCAAGAAGCCCAGAGAAGGAATAACTGAAAATGTTATTGTTTGCCAAGAAATTAGGGCTTGGAAAGAAAGCAAAGCAGTTTTATTTCAAGGTGTTCATTCCAAGGCTGTATTCATGAATGGGTCTGAGCTGGTGATCTGATTCCCAAGAAACGGATGGCCTCTTCTGCCAGGGCTCAGCTGCCTGTGTTGAAAGTGGTGTTAACATTCCCTGACAGCAGAGTGCAATGGGGAACTAGCTGGAACAGGCTAGTAGGATGGGAGAGCTATAGCCATGTGGCCCAGGAATGACAGATTTGGTCTGTGGAGAGGAAACAACACTTGCAGTGTGGTGGTCTGCTACCAGGGGAATGCACAGGCCAAATGGCATGCCAGCTGGCAGGCTCTGGAGGGATGGGCAGGGTTTGGGATGGGTACCTCCAGCCACCAGGCAGGGGTCTGTCTCTGCAATGGTCTGTCTGAATTGTGTATTGGAGATGTAGACATCTCACTCCTTTCAATATATGCTTTTGCAGGCTCCTCACGTCATTCACATGCGAGCTGGGGTCAAAATGGGAGAGGCTTCCTTGCAGGACACCATAATCCTTGATGGCCTTACAGATGCTTTTTATCAGTATCACATGGGCATAACAGGTAAGTGATGACAGTCCATAAAATGAAATGGTCAACTGAAAGAATTCATTGACATGAAATTTCAGAAATCTGAAATTACAAATAACATGTAAGCTGTCCTTATGTTGCAGTCATAAAAAAGAAAGAAAGAAATACATAATATTGAAAGACATTGAAGGCCTTTTCCGTTTTGTTTGTAAAGTTGCTGCTTTGGGTTTTTCTTCTGTCTGAGCTAATCTCTCTGCACCTCTTCTACATCTGAGAAATTTAATTTCAGAAAAAATATAAATAAAATAATCCCTGTATGTAACTGGAGCATTCAGCAGCACAGATTTACGATGAGGGGGAGTTACATAAAGTGCCCTGTGGATATGCATGGTTTTGCAGCTTCAGGTTATTGCACCCTGGTTGGGATGGTCAGCCAACTGCTTCTCCAGACCCTGCTCGTGAAACAGAGTGACTGCAGAAGTGTTCCCTTTCCTGATGTGGCTGTAGAGAGTTCCTGTAGAGAGATCTGAGCATAGTAGTTCAGAGAAGCAATAAACTACAAAAGCTTGTTTGCATTTGTATTTAATTTGATAATATCATCTAGGAGGAGATTCCACACAAAAATCTTCACCCTCAAGTGTAAATACAGTAGAAAATCATGAGTAAACAAAATTAGGAAATCAGAATGAAAACGGTTCAACAAACTCAGCTGCTTGCTACAGCAAACATTATTGACTACCTTTGTGCTTACAATTTTGCAATTTAAAATTTTGGCATTTCCTGATGGCAGTTTGCATTTTCTTCCCCTTTCAGCTGAAAATGTGGCCAAGAAGTGGCAAGTCAGTAGAGGGGAGCAAGACCAACTTGCTGTACAGTCACAAAACAGGGCAGAGGCAGCACAGAAAGCTGGCTATTTTACAAAAGAAATTGTTCCTGTTCTTGTACCTTCTAAAAAAGGTAGGTGTGAATGGATAATGAGAGCTGATTTTAAGGAAAAGAATCTATTTTCTGTTATGGCTTCTGTAATCAGTGGATGGTTTCCCGGATGGTTTCCCGCTTACACAGCTTTTTTGTAAGCATGTGGCCTGTTGCTCTCTTTTGCAGCTTTCAGTGGTTATATTTTAAATAAAAGAGAAGCAATGCAAATGTGGAATATCTCAGTGTAGCTTTCTGCAAATAGTAATAGTGTGTTTATTGAAGATAGAATAACAACCTAGACAAAGCACTGACTTAACATAGGCTTAGATATAGTACCGAAATCAGTGGTTTTCATTTTCTTAAGACTCCTGCTGCACCAAACTTAAAACAGTCATATTGATCTGGCAAACCTTGCCCATTTAGTAAAATACAGAGTGACAATAGTTAGGGTTACGAGTTAGTTATGTAGTCAGGTTACATATAATGGATATGCTTCTCTTTAGATTTGTGAGTGATACAAATCTACATATCTGTACAAACAGACCTATTACAACGCTTGAGCCAAAGTCTGTTTCTTGAGCAGGGGAATTCCCCAGCTCCTTGTGAGGTAGTGCAAAAACTGAATTTTCCAAAAAGATATCAAGAATCGGTTCTTCAACAATTCCATTTAAGAGACCCTGCCGAAAAAGTCCTGGCTTTAGGCTGGCTACAAACTATTACATGATACCAATTTAGATGATAATATTCAATGTCACTTGACTATTCTTTGTAACAAGATTACCAGAAGTATCATTTGACATATAGCCTTCTGCTGAAAGAGAAGGTATTGGGTTAGGAACAGCAAGAGCAATACTGACTTTTGCATAACTAGACAGTATTTTAGCTGCTAGTGTTCGTCTTAGAAAACCTGAGCTGTCTGCCCTGCTAGAAGGAGCTGGAGGGTTGCAGCTGTTTGTTAAACTGCCCTGAGTTGGCAGCTGTCTCCAGTGTAAGAATGCCTTGTTGGTTGAAAGGAATATGGTGTATATTCCCACTCAGCAGGTTGGTTTTGCTATCTTTCTGTTAGAGATGTGTTTGTGTGATTAGACACTCTTGTAAGCATAATGCTGTTTTGCAGGTCCTATAGAAGTTAAAATAGATGAACACCCTCGACATGGGAGCAACCTGGAAACAATGTCAAAGTTAAAGCCCTGTTTCTTGACAGATGGAACTGGGACGGTAACAGCAGCTAATGCTTCAGGTTGGTCCATCTGGCTTAACTGACATGGAAAAGAACAGTAGCTGCTTGTGGCTGAAGGCAGGGTCTCTGTGAGGGGTGTGGCTGCTGTGTGTTCACTGCTTTGCAGGAAATGGCAATGTGTTTGACATCATAGGCAGAACTCCATTTGAGATGTGGTGGAGGATTTCTTTAGAGAGTTGTCTTTTGTTTCCTTGTTTTCTATGAAACAATACAAGAGTTTGGGCAATAACAGCAGTATTTGATAGGCTGGAAGGAATATTTCCTTTTAAAACTGTCTAAGCGTTTCTGACACTGCAGGTTTGGACAGTGGAAAACTTAATGATTAATGTTTAAAAATGTTACTCCTGTGGGACTGCCACAAGCAGCTTTTAAATGTCTTCCTGTGTCTTTATGCTGCTCCTTCCAAAGCCTGCCTAACAAGTGTGATGTACTTATTTTTCAGATTTTATTTTGATTCTTCCACCTGTTGCTTTCCAAATAGAATCACAAATGTGTCACATTTACAGCAATATAGTTTCAAGTGTTTGTGGCAGAGAGCAGACTTGGCTGGCATGAGCAGTACTGACCTAAACGAATAATTATTTGTGATTTTTGTTTTGTCTAGGTTGTGATTTTATGCAAGCAGGAGAAAGTGGTACAGTAAAAGCCATAAAGTCCAACAAATAGATACAAGTTGTTTGTTATTCCACAGGTTTAAATGATGGAGCTGCAGCTGTTCTTCTAATGAAGAAATCAGAAGCTGCTAGGAGAGGTCTTATGCCTTTGGCTCGGATTGTATCTTGGGCTCAGACAGGTATAGATCCATCTATTATGGGAGTAGGGCCCATTTCAGCAATAAGGAAAGCTGTAAGTAATCACTTATCTATGTATCCATAATGCTAAAACTCTTGGTTTTAATTGCTTTTTGTTTTCTGGCCATGTCTTGGTTTTGCCCTGTTCTAAAGAAAACTCAGTAGGAAAAAAGTAAACTATGTGAAAAACAGCCTCAAAATAGTGTAGTATATAAGATTGGAATCCTAGTGCTACTAGGCTAGTACCTACATGTTGGAAAAAGAAAACCCCAATGTGTATGTGCATAAATGGACTTCAGAGCATAAACTAGTCAGGTTTGTGGAAAGGTATCTAGATAACCTAGGAAACTAAAGATCAAATTTCAGGCATGTGTGTAACTAACCCAATTCAGTGATACAGTTCTGATGATGTGTCTGGCCAAGTTAATTTTCAGATCATCGCCTGAATGTATTTTCAGTAGTACAACACTGAGGGAAGGGCCACTGAGTGCCATCTGCATTAGCCAATGGGACAGTGCCCATTGTGTTTCAGTTTGGCCTGCAAAATGTTTGGAGCTTACAAACTGGATTCCTTTCAGGTGTCACTAAACAGGAAGGGGAGTTCCAAAGCCACATCTAATGTGCTCCGAGCATTACTGCACCCACTGATGTGCTGAGTGTTCAGTCCACAGGACAAGGTTCTCAGTGCCCCAGTGAGCAGCCCTGCTGGTACCACACTGCTTGCTAATGCATCCATAACCCATAGCAGCCCCAGCTGATTATTTGTTAAAGCTTAGCTATGAAAGTGAGCATGAAAAGAGCTAAGAGCAGATTTGCTCTATTATTTTTTTAATACTCTATAAAGGCTTTACTTTGTTCACCTCTGAATGTCCTAGCGATGTGGAGGTCCTACCTGAACTCACCCAAGCTCTGTGGCTTTTGACAAGAAAATCAGAACTATAATGCTAAAGCTTTTTCTTACCAGATCTCAAATTGTTCTTTTAAATGAAGGGTGCAGTAACTGCATATACAATACAGTTTTAGTATAAACTGTGGAACAGAGCTGTACCTATAACTGTATACATACTATGAAAAAGGGCACACTACTTCATAGAGCATGGTCCTAATAATACCAAGATTGTGGCTTCAATTCCTTTATGGGTCATTTATTTAAGAGTTGGACTTGACGATCCTCATGGGTCCCTTCCAACTCAGCATATTCTGTGATTCTGTGATTAAACTTTGTGTGTTACCAAATGTTCAGACCCTCCATGTATTGTTTATCACTTCAGAATTTTAGAGTAGCACTTTACAGTAAGAGAATGACTATGTTATACATTAAGAGTTACAATAACATTGTGTATCTTAAGCTTTTCCCAGAAGAATGGGATAGTCCATACTGTCTATTTTATCTATAGAAAAAGGCTCCCCTCCTTGACTGTAGCCTCAGAGGTGCACCAGTCTGGCCAGCCTAGGTTGTGAAACATCAATAGTGATGATTCTGCTGATAAAGTATTGCTGTTAGAAACAAAGCAAGTGGAAGTAAAAATGTACACATGTGAAACATGCCTACGCCTGTAGCAGAGCAGGCAATTGCATCACAAGTTTCTCAAGTGAAAACATGACCAAACCATCTTCAAAAATAGTCATCTGTGAAAAGCTTAAAGTGCAAGCTTTCAATGTAAAGGCAGGAGAGACTGGACAAATCAGATGTGGCACTGATCACTAATGGTTGACACCACACTCTTTCCTGTTTAAAAGTCTCTGTTAATATAATAGAGACCCTAATGGAGTCAGACTATGTCCTAAAAAAATTGTTTTTAATCTGTTAAAAGCCTGCTTCTGAATGCAGTGCTTGTTGAAGTAAGGGCACAGGGTACAGTTTGATTCTCACAATTGCACCACCACTGCTACTACGTGTAAAATCAATCAAGATTTTTTATGAGCAGCCAGCATTATTACAGCTCATTGTACCGACTTGTCTGACACTGAAGCCTGTAGTCTTCAAGAATTCTGTCAACACTGGCTATAAAAAATTGTTTTCCTTCAACTTTTATAAAGCTTCAAATCACACAATTTACATCTTATGAAAAGCTTCCTCTGGTGCTAAGAGCTAAAAGATAGTAAGGTCTTATTTGCACTGTTTTCTCAGATTGACAAAGCTGGCTGGACTCTGGAACAAGTTGACCTGTTCGAAATTAATGAAGCCTTTGCGTCACTATCTGTTGCAATTTCAAAAGAACTGAAAGTAAACCCAGAAAAGGTAATGATTTGTAGGCTGGCATTAGCTTACCTCCTGTAATTCAAACTTGTCCCATTCTGTGCATGTGGATTGTAAAGATGAGCACAGCTCTCTTGCAATCCCTTTGGTGTAAGCAAATAGGGTGGGAGCCCCAGCAGGCATTTCCTCACACTGCTCTGTCCGCTGGCTTTGCTAGCAGTTTCCTAGCTGAACAACTTGCAGTGCTGTTGCAGTGGATTTTTGTGCAAATCTAGGCAACTGCTCAAACATACTTAATTCAGAATTTGAAATTGCTGCCTCAAGTATATTTGCCACAGTATTATTTCAGTGAAGGGAAAAACCATGGGTATTATTCTCCCCTCCCTAAATTCACCTCTTATCTTCAGAGTGAAGACTGCACCCTTGCAGAAGAAATACTGATTATTACCAGCTGTTGCACTCATATGCACTTTCTTGCATGAAGTGAGGCTTGGGGTTTCAAGCTCACAAATAATTAAGGGCTAGATCCCCGTGAAGTCATTTATGTTGAAAATCAGCTAAGCCAGTTAAATGTTCTTGACTGTCTATGTTGGCTTTTTTTTTCCTTTTAGATCAATATACAAGGTGGAGCTATTGCTCTTGGCCACCCTCTGGGCGCCTCTGGTTGTCGCATCCTTGTAACTCTCCTCTATGCACTGGAGCGAACTGGTGGAAAACGTGGTGTTGCTGCTCTCTGTATAGGAGGAGGAATGGGAATAGCCATGTGCGTTGAGAGATAAATGTGAGGGAATGAATAAACAGCTAGTGTGAACTAGCTTTGAAACATTTTACTAATAAACTTCTCAATAACATTTTAACAACTCACATTTTGTTTGTTTTGCCTAAATGTAAGTAAGCTTACACCATTACTTTTTGACACTCAAACACTGACTTGACAAAGAGGTCCATGGTTACTGCAGGCACACTAGTTATTAACACTCTAGAGCCTAAATTCTCACTGCAAGAACCAAGCTTGCTTTCAAAAATTAAGTTTGTTCACAAGAAAATAGCAGCAACATTCAACCACTTGTTTTATTAACATTTTAGTTATAAGAGTGGGAAGTGTAAGTGAAACAAACATAAATAAAGCCTAAGTTATTCTTCAAGTGCTCCAGACTGAACTGCATCCTCATAGCACCCTCCTCTCTCTTCTTTAGTTTCAGGGTGCAGTTTAATAAGATCATCAATTCGAAGAATAGTAATTGCAGCTTCTGTTGCAAACTTGAGGCTCTTAGTTTTGACCATGGTTGGTTCAAAGACGCCAGCTTGCTTGTTATCACGAGGTTTTCCATTGATCAAGTCAAGACCAATCCTGCAAAGAAAGAATGCTGTCAGATGGAGAGGGAGAAACAGCAGAAATACAGCAGCTGGGAGTATGCTGGGTAGCTACTGCTTCATTACAGCAATACATACACACAACTCAAGGGCAGGGGAAAAGGAGTTCACTGATGACATTTTTTTTTTTTTTACTATGCAAACTATGGTTCAGTAAACTGGGAGAACAATTTTCCATCTAGGTCACCAACCCACATCACTTTACCAGCCTTATACCAGACAGATACTTGCCATTTCAGATTTTTGCGATCTGGGTTAACTTGAGCCTCATTGTGGAATGCTCTCAATTTTGCAACAAGATCTGTGGCATCCTGAGCAGCATTTACTGCCAATGTATTTGGAATTACTAAGAGGGATCTTGCAAATTCTGCTATTGCAAGTTGTTCACGTGATCCCTAGAAAGAGGAAAAAGGTTTTTAGACCGATACTACTACAAGAGAGGAAAAAATACAGCCACAATCAAGAAAAGCACTAACAGGTACAGGTTTACACATGCATTTTCACATGCAAAACCTGTGTTTGGGTCAAAAAAAACATAGAATCTAATTATGAGAGAAAGAATTAACTAATATCCTCCATTTTAAAGAACCATCTTAGATTCTGTAAGATGATTATGTTTTCATGAACCACAGAAATGACTTCTAGTAGATGAAAATGATTGCTTGGAGATACACGGTGCAAGTCTTAACACATACACACCACTGCTGCTTTGTGCAAGACTTACCATGCTGGTTGCATAATTTTCAAGATATATTGAAAGTGCTGCCTCTACAGCACCACCACCTGGGACAACAGACTTGGATTCCAAAACCCTTTTGACAACACAGAGAGCATCATGTATAGATCGCTCCATTTCATCACACATGAAGTCATTGGCTCCTCTCAAGATAATTGATGCTGAAGTACGAGCCTTTGTACTAGGAAGAAAAGGAATCAGAAGTCAGCTGTGTTGGATGGAACCTAGATTAAAATTCTTCTTGGTAAATTTTTTCTTCTAAAGCCAAGTTCAGTTGAGCCTCATTATTTCAACATTTAAAAGAAAATCTTAACATTATTATGCCCCCTTGCAGGATACATACATTGTAACTTAGTCACCATTTTAATTTCTAACATGCATGCGTCTAGCTTGAATTTTAGTCTTTTAAAGAAAGCTACCTGTCAAAGTGAGATGACAAGATATTTCCCCATCAAAGAGGGGAGAGCGTACTTAGATAGTAAGAAAGATCCCTTTTGCACAGAAAAGGCTGTCACATATAGCTGACACACAAGTGCTATGGGCAGGGTGTGTCATTCATGCTCAAATGACACCACAGGAACATGAACACCCAGAAGGGATACTGAAGCAGTGGAAAAGTTATTATCCAAAGTATGTTCTTGTGAAATGAATTGATATTTAAGTCTTCAGGTACCTGACAGCAGTGACAGCAGCACAAGCAGACACTGTCTTTCACTACAAATGGAAAGATTTAGCTCACACCTCTTTATTCAGATGAAATTACTCAGATGGTACCTATTTCCCTTACCATCTCTAAAGGGAAGCCAGTTTAGAAACATTTGTTTATAAACAAAAATTTAAGTAAAAACTGCCTAGCAATCTGATTGTCTCATATACTGTAATGTATCCAGCTCCAGCAAAAGAGACTAGATACTGATACTTTCACCTCTAATTTGCACTGGATTTCTGTATAACTATTTTCCTATGTGTATAACTATTCCAACCACTCAGATAGCATCAAGTAAATAAATGCAATTTTATCTCAAACTTAGTAAAGAACAAAACTGAGTATTTTTAAAAGGATCCTTACTTCTTGATTAAAATCAGCTCATCATCACAGATTCTCTCTTGAATCACTTCCTCTGCCTGTCCCAGCATTAATGCCTCAAAACTCTCCTCACCTTCAAGGTTTGCAAGGGTTGAACATATGGTTGCTTTAACAAACAAACAAAAAAGCAAAGTTAACATTTAATTCCTGCACATCATCCTTTGCCCACTTCCCTGAATAGGTGTACAGAGAGAAAAGCAGAAATAAAAGCTGTGTTGAATAGATTTTTCTTAAACACTTCTAGTTCTCAGGCAGCAATTCAGTATTTCTAGCTGATAAACGTCTCCTTTCATTCAACTTTTACAGCACTTCTTTTTTCACAGCCAGTACAAGTTCCCATGCTTTACCACAATGAAAGAGTTTTCTTCCAAACTAAAGAACTGACAGATAAAACTATGTACAGGACCAGATTTTTTTTTGAAAGTATGATTGAATGATTTAGGAGTTCTTTATTCATCTTGAACTATCTAAACAATGTCCTTAACTGTCTAAACAGAGGCTTATGAATGCATGCATAATAAAGACTTCTAAATAAACACAGATTATGGCTCCTATTTCCACAAGAGGCCAGTCTTCACAGTGCCAGGCAGCTGCTTCTCCTACCACAGAACATCTTCAACAATCAAGTTTTACAATACTATTACTTTGACAAAGGTCACTTAAAAGCGACAGTAAAGCTAAAAAGGCTCAGCTTTACTCATCCTGACTTTAAATGTTAAGAAGTTGTATTTTATAAAAGAGTCAAGAAATACCTTAACAACAGCTTCTACTTTGAAGAATAAATTTATAAACCAGTTATTCTTACACAAGCATACCTCCTGATGCCTTAGCAATCCGCTTAAGGTCCTTTTTTACGACTCTTCGTACTGCCATAGCTCCAGCATCAACAAAGTATTTCAGACACATATCATCAATACCTCCAGTGGTGAGAATCACATTGGCACCAGTGGCCAGAATCTTCTGGATTCTTTCTTTGGTAATATCTGACTCTCTGCAAAGATTAATGTCAAAGTTATAAAAAGGTATTATAAAATATACCATCACATCTGTCAGCCAACTTCATGAAACCTTAATGCAGAGCTCTGTATGAATGGATCACTGCACAAACATACTTGCATTTCTTGAAAACTGACTTAATACTAGTTCTGCCTCCAGAAGTGAAGGCATCTTCCATTACTATTTGGTATTAGAGGGAAATGTTAACATTCAAAACATTTTTTACCTCTTGCACTCAGCCAAAATTAAATTCAGCCACCTCAACTGAAGACACCAAATCAAGCTTGTGAAACCCCACTGCCTCAGTTATTCAAACTTCCACACACCTCTGCCTTATCTGGTCCAGCTTCTCAGGGTCTGAGATAACAACCTGAACACCAAGCTTCATTTTTGCTTTCTGCAGGCTGAAGTCAAGGCATGCAATCTTTGCATTAACTATTCTCTTGGTCATACCTGATGAGGAAAAATAAGCAAGAAGGATTTCGTCAAATCGATTTAACAGAACATCAAGTCAGCATTAGAGATTAAAATTAGCATTACTTTCACATTTCAGATTCCTACTGTTTGCTTCTCCACCTTCAGTTCTGCCCTACTGCAGAAAAATGCTGAGACTTTCCTGCGTTACTTTTTGACATACTCTGTCCCCAAAATGTGCATGACCATAACAATCTGACCTATTGGTCTCACATCCTCTAAGTCACCTAATCACAGCACAGCTCTGCTAAATGGAACAGCTCCCCACAAACCTGGCAGTGGCCCCCCACAAGGGAAGCGTTGAAGTTCCACCAGAGCACAATGCTGACACTGATCCAGGGAAACTCCAGCAACTCACCAACACTTTGTGGATCACTGCTAGCTGGCAGGCTCTAGTCTAAGAAGCACTGGTGAAGTGCAGTATTTTGTGTTCCTGTTTAACTGTTCTGGAACTGAAAACCCACATGATTTGCACTGAGCACAGCCAGTAAGGAGAGCAATGCAGAAAGACAGAGAGGACTGAGGTGAGATGGAGGATTTCTGGAAGGCAGGCTGTGCTTACCCTGAGAGCCCACGACGCAGTTGAGCGCGTAGCCGTTGACGAGGATGCTCTCCTTCTGGCTGCGGCCGTGGGCCTTCAGGACATTGACCGAGTTGATGGGGTACCGAGCCTGACCCTTCTGGTCTGTGTATTTAACTGCCAGGGCAGCATCCACCACCATGTTAGCAAAGAAATCGCCATCACTGAGAGGCTGTTAAGGTTAAAACTGAAGAAGGAAACTACTGTTATGCTTAAGGGGGAAAAAATAAAACAAACCCAAAACAAACCATGACAGAAATAACTGACAGTGCCAAAACTAAGTTTCCAAAAAAAGAGCTTCAGAAAGGCATGTAAGTGCTAGCTAGCTCTCCTTACCACTGTCTTAAAGGAAAGAGTCATTCTAAAAGCTGAAACGCTGGTAGGAAATTATGACAGACTAGTATGAAACCTGCATTTTATGTACCTTTTGTTGCTAAAGAAAAATACATATCCTATAGTCGGTCTGCATAAAAGGTAAAAATGCAGGTTTTTCTGTGCCCATGGAGTAAAATTCAACTTTCTTTCCTCTGATTCACTCCCAGGTACTTCTGTAACACATTCTTCTACTCACACAACTCTAACTCATCTCCCCAACAAGCAAAGCAATTCTTAGGAAACACTAAGCTTTAAAGGCTATCATGATGTGCCAACCCAGATTTAAATGTCACAATACCTGTAAAATGCCTGTTATAAACACAACAGCTTCAATACTGTGTCATGCTCATAAAAACTGCTGCCAAGGATACTCTAACCTCGCTACTGAAGCTCCCTAATCAACCACTCCCACTTCACTCACTTGATCAATTTAAAGGATACACTCCTATGATTTTTGAGGACATTGATGTTTTAGCAGCATTAATTAGGCACTCCCTGCCCAACTCATCTGTGTTAATAACAA